AGGCTTATGATTTTGATCCAGACTAACTAGAACATTTTATTGATGCAAATTCCTGACGGTCTGGATATTTATATAGCTTCATGTTATAATTAGTGTTTATTAGCTATCTCTCAAACTGTCTTCTCATTCTCCTAATTTTATATTGTGTTTTGACAACACAGGTCTCACAGCTCTAATTATAAGATGTTTCTTTTTTATATATATTACTGAAAATTAGGACTTTTTAATCTAAATTGCACAATATATGATGGTAGTGTTTACGTGTAGTGCTGTTAATGTGACTTTCTCTTACGCTGTACTTAATGTACCGTACCTTTATATAAACTTAACCAAGTTGCTCCTTAAGGCTATATACTGAATTTAATCAACACTGTAGTGCAGTTGATCTGAGTACGACTGTATGAAGTTCAGTCTAAAGTGTGACTAATGAAGACTACGAACCTCGAGTATATAAAATATGGCGTAGTATAGGTAGATACTGTCTCCTAGGCTTCATTGTTGTTTCTGATGCATTAGCATAATTTGTTTGCTTGTGGGACTTCTTTGAGGTCGCTGTCAGGCAAGATACATTTTGATGTCTTCAAAATCCTTCCTCAGAATATGTAAATGGTCTGTCAAGGAGTGAGAGGGTAAATAACAATCAAAAAACCTCCAAGCCCGGAAGATTGTAGAGCACCAGATGTCTCCATACGTTTTCAAGTCCAATTCTTTTACTTAAGAGCAATACATGTGATGTGAAAGTATTTAATATAGTTCCATTGTTCTGGTCAACGTGAGTACCTATAGTAGTGTATATATCTTGTTTGTTCTGTCACTTATAGTTCCTTCCTTTAGTGACCAGTGTTTATCTATACTTTGAAACGCATCCACAATCTCACACACTGTATGACTAGGCTTCACGAAATGCCCCTTGTTGCCTGATCATTCCAGCCAGTATTAGAAAGGTTTCAGCACACAATCATTGCCCAAATATGTTTAAAAAGAGTTGCTCATCGGTATGTTGAGGAAGAGATGTGTAAAGTAACTGGACAATTGAGAACAAACATTTTGTCATCGGGCAAGAATCTGTTATATGCATCGCCTGCATTCCTTGGTCAGGCGCTGACATGTTGGCAGCGTTGTTATAATGCTGACTTGTGCACTTTGAGAAATCTATATTATAAACTTGGGACAGATAATACAGTACATAAACTGCCCTTTCTTCATCATTATGACATTTTAAACTGACTAACATTTTAAATCGTTGAACTGGTTTACCGTCTGTGTTGTTGTTTTAGATTCAGCTTCTCGGAACCAATAGTTCCAGGTAGCACAGGCTATGGTGAGCCCGTAGTGGACTTACCTGGCCCAGGAGCGGGGCTGTGACTGTGGTTCCGTCTGTGGGAGATACGTATCTTAGCACAATGTGAAAGATCAGGTGTAGAGTCAGCCGTTAGACCCGTGATCTCACCACACACTGTCTTGGAGGAGCGTGATGTCTTTAGCCAACATTCTCATAGTCTGAGACATGGCCAGCTAGCCATAAGTCAAACTGGACCCCAAGCTTCAACAATCTCGAGAAACGTCAAGTTTGCAAATGAAAAAGTCTTTAATTTGATTCCTGAAAGAATGTAAAGCAAGTTGCAGACATCGGGAGGACAAACCCTCATGCAAACTGCACGTATCGCGAAGAAAAGAAGAAAGCAAGTTCAGCCAATGTTTGAAAACCGGATGGAACACGCTGCAAGACATTAATGAACAGCAACTGGTGAGCCAAGCGTATGGAGGATGAGTCAGGTACATTACACTGAGAATGATGAGTTGAAGCCGTGGTTCAAGAGATGGGAATAACTTGCTATAACTTTGACTGTAGCGATGTGAACGATTTAATATATATGCAGTTCTGCACCGAGAACGATTCAGGGCGCAATAAACGTTGGGGTTCTTGTCGGTGGAAACTATCCAGTACTACAACATGCACTGCTGAGCTGCCTTTTATCTCTGTTCTGCCTTAATGCATCCAGAACTATATATATTGCATAATAAATCCCCCTTCCTTCCTCTCCCTTGTCCTAGAATCTTTTGGTGCCAGTAGAACTAGATCGTCAGCAGGGAAAAGTTATTAGTCAGATCTCCAACCAGATCAAAGTCGGTCAGTGAGGAGTGACAATGATCCTCTGAACCACCTCAGGATCATTTCAGAGTTGGTGCTGCCTGTGAACGCTTTCAACAGTGGATCAAGATAGTTATCGAATTCTAAAGGTTTAAAAACAGCTCTGATAGTGACCCAATTTTAGAGATTTTCTAATCAGAATCCGAGGGCTGGGTGGAGTGATAAGGGTGGGGGAAAGAATGAGTATTGAGGTGGAATGATAATCACAGGCATCCGAAATTAAATACCTTTTCTTACTAGTGTAATGAACCAACAATTCCCGCGAAACATTAATTCCTCGCAAAACCAGCCCCTTCCTTTGTTCCCTCGATCAAGGGAGGGATCATAGTTTTATCCCTTGAACCGCCCTCTTATCTCCATTAGTCACCCCCTCATCGCATCCATTCCCCCCCCAAAAAAAAACCTTCCCCCTCACCAGTTACCTCTCCTGATATCGGGGAAGAGAAGTCGAGAGAGGTGGAGAGCTGCTAGGTTTGCTATGTACAGAGGGTGAAACAACTCCTAAGACAGATTCATTCAGCACCGCTCCTGTGCCAGGTAAGTCCACATAGCCCGTGCTACTTGGAACTTGTTCCGAGTAGCTGAATCTATAACAACAACAACAACAGATTCCTAAGACCAGTGTTGATCTTTGCTAGGAAGCTGTTAGAGCCTCACTAGGGACCTGCTGCAGACTGGCTAGGAATCCTGAGGGAGATCTACTAAAGCCCTACTGGGGACCTGCTCTAGCATCTGCTGGAGATCTTTTGGACACCAGCTTGGGAAATGTTGGAGATCCCCTCCAACATTTTAGCCAAGAGCTAACAGCTCGATCCTGCAGGCACACATAGTAATACACACACAACACCTGCGCTGGAATACAGCGTTACAACACAGGTAGACACAACATCTGCACTAGAATAGTGTCACAACACAGGTAGGGGACACAACACCTACGCTAGAATACACAGCCGCCTTAGAGGTTAGTGTCAGGTCGGGGTGCAGACGAACTCGCTTGCCTAAATCCAGAGTGACAAGCAGCACTCCGCCCGTAGAACAAAAGGTGAACCGCAACTCTCGCCAATACTCTTAAAAAACGTGTTCTCTCTCTCTGACCAGCAGCACCTTTGACATTCAAATTAATGCAACCAGCGAGCGAGTGTTTGTGATTCAAATCGCCAACCGGTTACCCAGACTGGTGCGTACACCATCACAAAAACAAAAAATGCCAAACAAAAATGATCCCGCCGAGTCTACGTTGGTCCGTGATCCAGGGCAATGAGGTACGATGCATGGAACGTCAAATTGATTTGAGTTGCATACGAGCAGAAATACCGAGTGTTCCGGCTAGTGTTTTCACGAAGGTGCGGCACTGCTTCTGCAGCCTATTATATTCATCGTTAGGAATAAGTTTTATTCATTAACAACATTGGGTGACAATCGTACAAGGAACAGGATGAGCCTGTAGCCAACTGTGTGCCAGAGCCTTCATGTGCTCAGTTGACCTGATCTCCCGTGTGTCAACCTGCTGAGCGAACAACTTCCAGATACAACAACAACAATACAATACAATTTTATTTAGGTAAGGTACATACATACAATAAATATTTACAAGGATTGTTTAACTTATAGGTAGAGCTAGTACATACAATGCCTAAAGCCACTATTACGCAAAGCGTTTCGGGCATGATAGTCAGCTTAAGAATGAATGCTCGCTGATGGAGTGATGTTCTTGAGAAAGGAAGTTCTACCAAGAGGGAGGGAATTATTAGGGGGGAAGCAGCAAGCCATTACGACTATATAGCACTTGAAAGGGGTCGGGATAAGGATTTGGGATGGGACGAAAGGGGGGGGGAGGAATGGTGCCCTACCACTTAGACGGTCGAGAGATTGAAAGCCAACTTGCATGAAGCGAGACCGTCGTTCTACCGTCCAGTCCAAGTGATTAGGGAATTCTAGCAAGAAACTGTTGAAGGTTGAGAACCTAATGCCATGGGTGCCATCTACTGGTTGTCCACGGAGTTGGGTCAGGTTCAGAACTTTGAGAATATTGACGTTATCGTAAAATAAAGTAGATTTTCTATATTATTTAATTAGAATTTGTTTTGAGTGTCATAAATTGATAGCGAAATAGTTTCACAAATTGATCGCTATCAGTTGTGTCCCTAAGCTTTGCTAACTATTAAATTGGGAAAATTAGTTCATATAATTACTAGAAACATGTTTATTGCTCATTTTGTAATCCTGGAGTTACATTTGTAAGGTATTACAAGGGATACATGATGTAGTTAGGTGAGACTGTCTGTAATATATTGGGGTACAGTTAGTCAGTAATGCCACATATTCCTAACCAAAATGTTCACTTAAATCTATGAAAGAGTCCCAACCTTGTTCCCTTAAGTCGTCCAGCATGACTGCTGTATTCACGCCTCAAGTTGGAGTGCTATCTTGAAGCTTCAAGCTTTTGAAACTCTTAGTTATTCAACCTTGAAGCTCTTGAGACTCTTGAAGCTCTTCAGGAACTTCATGGCCCCTTCGTCTCCAAGTTGTAGCCTCTGTGCCTACAGCTAATTCAAGTTGCACACACACACACACACACTAAGTTTGTTGGGGACTTGTGGACAAGTTTCTGTATGGCTGTGTACAGACAAATGTCTGATTGCTCGAGTGAATTGTCTTTGGAAATTACTCTCATAACCTCTTTCTCATAAATATGAAATAACCCCCAGCCCTAACAATTCCCCCCACACATACACACACACACACACACACACACACACACACACACACACACACACACACACACACACACACACACACACACACACACACACACACTCAACATTGTTTTAAGTGCTCTTAGTTTCATTCACGTTGATGCTGGTATTTCATCTACTGTGGTTTGTTCGTCTTGTGCAGCTGTCGCAGCTGTTTCTTCTGGTGCAGCTGTTTCTTCTGTCGCAGCTGTTGTTTCTTCTGTCGCAGCTGTTGTTTCTTCTGTCGCAGCTGTTTCTTCTGTCACAGCTGTTTCTTCTGTCGCAGCTGTTTCTTCTGTCACAGCTGTTTCTTCTGTCACAGCTGTTTCTTCTGTCACAGCTGTTTCTTCTGTCGCAGCTGTTGTTTCTTCTGTCGCAGCTGTTGTTTCTTCTGTCGCAGCTGTTTCTTCTGTCACAGCTGTTTCTTCTGTCCCAGTTGTTTCTTCTGTCGCAGCTGTTTCTTCTGTCACAGCTGTTTCTTCTGTCACAGCTGTTTCTTCTGTCGCAGCTGTTGTTTCTTCTGTCGCAGCTGTTTCTTCTGTCACAGCTGTTTCTTCTGTCCCAGCTGTTTCTTTTGTCGCAGCTGTTTCTTCTGTCACAGCTGTTTCTTCTGTCCCAGCTGTTTCTTCTGTCGCAGCTGTTTCTTCTGTCACAGCTGTTTCTTCTGTCCCAGCTGTTTCTTTTGTCGCAGCTGTTTCTTCTGTCACAGCTGTTTCTTCTGTCCCAGCTGTTTCTTCTGTCGCAGCTGTTTCTTCTGGCGCAGATGTTTCTTCTGGTGCAGCTGTTTCTTCTGTCGCAGCTGTTTCTTCTGTCGCAGCTGTTGTTTCTTCTGTCGCAGCTGTTGTTTCTTCTGTCGCAGCTGTTTCTTCTGTCACAGCTGTTTCTTCTGTCCCAGCTGTTTCTTCTGTCGCAGCTGTTTCTTCTGTCGCAGCTGTTGTTTCTTCTGACACAGCTGTTTCTTCTGTCGCAGCTGTTGTTTCTTCTGTCCCAGCTGTTTCTTTTGTCGCAGCTGTTTCTTCTGGTGCAGCTGTTTCTTCTGTCGCAGCTGTTTCTTCTGGCACAGCTGTTTCTTCTGTCACAGCTGTTTCTTCTGTCACAGCTGTTTCTTCTGCCACAGCTGTTTCTTCTGTCACAGCTGTTTCTTCTGTCGCAGCTGTTTCTTCTGTCACAGCTGTTTCTTCTGTCGCAGCTGTTTCTTCTGTCGCAGCTGTTTCTTCTGTCACAGCTGTTGTTTCTTCTGTCACAGCTGTTTCTTCTGGCACAGCTGTTTCTTCTGTCGCAGCTGTTTCTTCTGTCACAGCTGTTTCTTCTGTCGCAGCTGTTTCTTCTGTCACAGCTGTTTCTTCTGTCGCAGCTGTTTCTTCTGTCACAGCTGTTTCTTCTGTCGCAGCTGTTTCTTCTGTCACAGCTGTTTCTTCTGGCACAGCTGTTTCGACGCTTCCCAGAGTCTTTCCTTCACTCCTGGAATCAGCAGCAGCAGCAGGAGGAGGAGGAGGAGCAGCAGCAGCAGCAGGAGCAGCAGCAACAGCAGCAGCAGGAGCAGCAGCAGGAGCAGCAGCAGGAACAGCAGCAGCAGCAGCAGCAACAGGAGGAGCAGCAGCAGCAGCAGCAACAGGAGCAGCAGCAGTAGCAGCAGCAGTAGCAGCAGCAGCAGTAGCAGCAGCAGTAGCAGTAGCAGTAGCAGCAGCAGCAGTAGCCTTCAGCCGTTTCTGTTCCTCGGCAAATTTGATCTGTAGTTAAAATGAAAAAAAAAAACGCAGAACTCCGTTAGTGAATCACGCAGGTGCGCCACGCTACTGTCTGTTGTTTATGGCAAGGCTGCGTTAATGACAAATGCTAGTCGACATGTCTGACAGCTGTCGATACATGGCGATGGGACGTGATTGTGAGGGCGGTTGTGGTGGGCGGTGGTGGGCGGGGGGGACGTACCTGTTTGAGATGCCAGGGCTGGAGTGGGTGCGGGGTAGGCAGCAGGTCAGAGACGGGCCGGAACCCGCCCACGCCCGCTGTGTACGTCATGGCGTGGGGCGTCCCGTCTGGGTGGGTGAACCTGCGGAGGAGTTTGGGTGGTGGTAATGGTTGATATTGTTGAAGGGTAATGGCGGTGGTTGAGGGGTGGTTGACTTAGTGGAAAAGGTTGTGTGTGTGTGGATGTTGGTAGTATTGTTGTGGTAGTTGTGGTTGGGGTTGTCAACACATTGGAAGTGTTCATTGACTGACAGAAAGTCATACTGGCAAATTAACTCAGCTTTCCAGTCTCTCTCTCTCTCTCTCTCTCTCTCTCTCTCTCTCTCTCTCTCTCTCTCTCTCTCTCTCTCTCTCTCTCTCTCTCTCTCTCTCTCTCTCTCTCTCTCTAGCACTCTCTCTCTCTCTCTCTCTCTCTCTCTCTCTCTCTCTCTCTCTCTCTCTCTCTCTCTCTCTCTCTCTCTCTCTCTCTCTCTCTCTCTCTCTCTCTCTCTCTCTCTCTCTCTCTCTCTCTCTCTCTCTCTCTCTCTCTCTCTCTCTCTCTCTCTCTCTCTCTCTCTCTCTCTCTCTCTCTCACACACACACACACAAATTGTCTACAGAACTGTTGGCATTGATAAGGAAGCAAAGCTATAGGAAAAGATTACGTGAACTCAAGTGAGGAGAAAGAAGTGGAAGCAGAGGTCTTAGAAGCCACCTCCATATTTAGTCCCAATAATATTTATCCCAGTGGAGGCTACAAGAAGACTAGGATCTAAGACCCAAGGAAATCTTACGACATCACTATTCTTTAAATACATCCAACCCAATCTATCCAAACCTAATCTATCCCAATCCAACCTAGCCAAATTTAACCAAAATAAGAGATACAATATTGTGTCTTATAGATGATATGCACAAAGCTTGTGATGTTAGTCTGACGTCAGAATTGCATTTCGGTTGATTCAGGTTGTACAGGGGGGGGGGGGTAGATGGAAAGGAAACAGGTACAGTACCTGTGATACAGGGGGGGGGGCCAGGAGCTACACCTCGCTTCCCGTAATCATATATAGGTCAACACACACACACCTCGAGTTGAGCAGCACCGCTCCTGTGCCAGGTAAGTCCACTACGGGCTCACCATAGCCCGTGCTACTTGGAACTTGCTCCGAGTAGCTGAAACTATAACTATAAAACCTTGAGCATTTGATAGATGGATAAGACACATATATACTGACTCACATAGACGGACAGATATACTGACACATACTGACTCACAGAGATATACATATACCTAGACTTACATCCAGAGAGACTTGAATTACAGACTCACAGATTCATAGACTCACAGAATCATAGACCCACAGACTCACGAGTAATGTCCGGTAGTGAGGGTGTTACCATCTGGGCCAGATGGCGCTGATGCTTCCCATCTGGCGACGTTGTCACCCTGTTGTATCCTGCACACATAGACACATGTCACTACAGCACTGTATCAACACCTGACTATGTTGGTAAACACTTATTACAACAGCACTGTAACAACACCTGACTATCTCAATACACACATGTTACTACATGTATCTACTGACATATATGTAAAACTGAACAGAAACCTGAACCAAATAACATATTTTCTTCAGTTATAACAAATTACAGAACAAATATATAACAAAAACTGAGTTAAAGTGGTGAGTTTTTAGAACCAATGAAATTTTCTTATATTGACCACCTACCTGAAGAAGTAGGCGCCGTTGATGGGCGGCGCCCTCTCATCCACCACGATAGGGACGGGCGTGGTGGTGTAAGGGGCAGGTAGGTCCTCCTCCGACTCCTGCAGGAGGTTCGAACCGGGACCCCTGAGTGTGTACATGCGGGGACGACCCGACATCTTTCTACTCCGCCACTGAGGACGACTCAATACACATACAACGCCATAGGCGATCATCAGTCCCACCTGAGGACGATTTGAGCACACTGTACCCTACACTACACACACTGTACCCTACACTACACACACTGTACCCTGCACTACACACACTGTACCCTGCACTATACACACTGTACCCTGCACTACACACACTGTACCCTACACTACACACTGTACCCTACACTACACACACTGTACCCTACACTACACACTGTACCCTACACTACACACTGTACCCTACACTACACACACTGTACCCTACACTACACACACTGTACCCTACACTACACACTGTACCCTACACTACACACACACTGTACCCTACACTACACACACTGTACCCTACACTACACACTGTACCCTGCACTACACACACTGTACCCTACACTACACACACTGTACCCTACACTATACACACTGTACCCTACACTATACACACTGTATCCTACACTACACACACTGTACCCTACACTACACACTGTACCCTACACTACACACACTGTACCCTACACTACACACACTGTACCCTACACTACACACTGTACCCTACACTACACACACTGTACCCTACACTACACACACTGTACCCTACACTACACACACTGTACCCTACACTACATACACTGTACCCTGCACTATACACACTGTACCCTACACTATACACACTGTATCCTACACTACACACACTGTACCCTACACTACACACACTGTACCCTACACTATACACACTGTATCCTACACTACACACACTGTACCCTACACTATACGCTACATCTATATACACTATTGTAGCACATGTACCATAGGTTCATAGGCTGATTGTCCCCCATATATATATATATATATATATATATATATATATATATATATATATATATATATATATATATATATATATATATATATATATCCTGGTCTATATCTACCAGTGTAGAGGTAGATATGTAGATATCTACATCTGAGGCATAGAGGTGCAATAACGGGTGCTTCTAGGTAACTATGTAAACCTCGAAATCTAAGGAAAAATATAACAAAAAAAAAATGAAGCCATTTCCGAAACCTGTACATCTTTTCACCAATCATGGCAGCTTTCTTTTGTTTTTGTTCTTTTACCAAACAGTTCACACCCGTTCTCGCACTTGCGTATAGTCAATATTGGTTTATTAAATAAGTGCATATGCGACATACTAATTGATTGTGAATATTTAGTTTACCTTGAAAAGATTCATAGAAAACACCGACCTCACCTAACCTTCTTAGTATGTTAAGATAAGCATCTTATTGCTTCTTATTTACAATTATTACTTAACCTATCAACGAACGATAACGACCTTGGGGCGGAAACGACTTCGCAACATTCCTGACTTCGCAAACTAAGGCACTAAGACTGAGGAAGGATGTACACCTTTCGTAAATGGTCGCTTATAGGCACCCGCTAAATCCAGGGCCATAGGACTAATGTGAAAGTAAGGTGTTAGTATTACTAATAAAATTAAAAATAATAATATATACCAATAAATACATATAATAATATTGATTTAAAATATTCTTCTTAAATACGTACAATTTTCATTCTCAGTGCGTGTGAGTTCTGCGACTTGAGTGGGAGTGGATTCAGCTTATTGAGTGCGAGTGAATGGTGCTACTTGAGTGAGTACGAGTGCATACTGATACTTGAGAGAGTGCGAGCGATTGCTGCAACTTGAGTGAGTTCGAGTGGATGGTGCGACCTAAATTCGAGTGGGTGCTGTTATTTGAGTGCAAATGAATGATGCTACTTAAATGAGTGCATATGAATGCTGCTACTTGAGTGAATGTGAGTGGTTGCTGCTATTCGAGTGCGGTGAATGCTGCGCCTTGAGTCAGTACGATTGGATTCTGCAACTTGAGTGAGTGCGAGTGTATGCTGCAACTCGAGTGAGTGCGAGTGTATGCTGCCACTTGGATGAGTGCCAGAGTCCCACTGGGACCAGGTCCACCTCAGCCAACTCTTTTATACTCCCAAAATGCCACGGAGATTAACCACAGATTCCCGCCATTTTCATGCCGCCATCTTGCCCCTCTCCTCCGATCCAAAACTTCAAACTTTCTGGCGTTAATGTAAACTGATAAATTTATACTGCTTTACATATCGAAAATAACAAAAGTTATGAGTTTATCCCCGCAGAAATAGAATATAGAAAACGTTGAATTGACATTTCATGAGAAAGAGATAGAGGTTTATAGGGGTCACGATGATAATGTGTCAAGAGGTCACGATGGCTTGTCATTCTTGCTTCACCGTCATCGTTGCAACCTTTGGAAAGACGCGCCGTTCGTAAAGAGCATCGGCGTGCGGTGATAATGGTAGTTATCAATTGAGTATAATTTAGCGGCCACGCGCAGCAAGAACCCCTCCTCCCTCCCTCCCTTACAACACCCCCGCCAAGGAAATCCCCCTAATCCCGCACCGCGTATGTCAGGGGCCGGAAATATAAGAGGTCTGGAATGTATTTTAACGACGGGAGACATCTGTCATGCAGGGTGCAGTCGCGCCTCCACAGATCTCCAGTATCAGCTCTTGATACTGGTAATGGCTCAAAAGGGCCACCACTTACGGGCTATTCATGCCCGTGCCACCTCTTGGGTGGCTTAATCTTTATCAATTAATCAATCTATTTTAACGACGTCATGTTGAGAGGCAGAGTGAGATGAGGATGGTTCTTGTACACTCTGGCTCTGGCATGCGTCGGAATGTGAGCTTATATGAACAGCGTATCGCTAAGATGGACCCCAAGAGGTAGACCCCAAGAGGAAGACCCCAAGAGGTAGACGCCAAGAGGTAGACCCCAAGAGGTAGACGCCAAGAGGTAGACCTCAAGAGGTATACCCCAAGAGATAACCCCCCCCCCCCCCCGTATTGGTTTTCTTACGGGGGTTGATCTACAGAACAAATTACCGGGTAACATAATCAACGCGGGATCGCTGGGTTGTTTCAAGCGTAGGTTAGACGTATATATGATTGAGTTTGGCTGAGTAGCAATAGGAGCTGCCTCCTCCTACGGGCCAATGAGCCTCCAACATTTATCTTATTTTTTTATTTTATTTTATTTATATATATACAAGAAGGTACATTGGGTTTGAGAGAATACTTTGGATAGTACAGTATTTACATTCTTGTAAAGCCACTAGTACGCGCAGCGTTTCGGGCAGGTCCTTAATCTAGCAGATAATTTTAAGTAGGTAATTTCAATCAGAATTGATAAATGAAAGATACATTACAAGAGAAAAATGAGATGAGAGAGATAAGTAAGTATATTAAAGCACATTGTTATATTAAAGCTCTGATTGATTACATTGACAGCTTGATTAGTAATTTAAACAAGATTAATAGACACCATACAGCAGATTGACAGCACATATAAGACAGCAATGATAACAATGGTAAAGATGTTCAGAATGGGTACATAAAGATTGGGAGACTGGGTAGCAAAAGATACAGATAACAAGATTTATAAACACCATACAGCAGATTGGCAGCACATCTAAGAAAACAGCAATGATCTCAATGGTAAAGATGTTCAAATTGGGAACATAAAGGTTGGGAGATTGGGTAGCAATAGATACAGTGCAATTTTAAGGCAAAAAGTGAAAAACTATGAAGATGAAATTAGGTACTTTTTAGTATTGATTTTGAATGATGTAAAAGTTGGACAGCTTTTCAATTCAGTAGGGAGTGAGTTCCATAAACTGGGTCCCTTTATTTGCATAGAGTGTTTACACAGATTAAGTTTAACTCTGGGGATATCGAAGAGATATTTATTTCTAAGATAAGAAGAGATATTTATTTCATACGTGCTTATGTCTTATCTCTCCTGTATCGTTATCACCTACGTCTTATCATGCACCATATGTGATACTACTGCACCCTGTGTATGGGGGGCTGAGGTGCTTCGATAACCGGATAACTTCGATAAATCAACTACAAATAAAGCTTATCTTCCGCGATGACGCTGAAGGCTATAAGCTCCCTACGGAGCTTAGGCTTCAAGCTGTCATTGGGCAGTGACTCAGAGACTTCCGGCGATGGAATCAGTCAATTTGACCTCCTGGAGGATGGGAAAGTTGGCCTAAATGGTAAACTGCAATCAGACTCTAATTCTTCCTGAAGAAGAATTAGATTCTGAAGAGAGGCTCTTCAGGTTCCCGCGCTTGTGATACTGGAATGCTTCGCCCACCCCGCCGAACGTGCCCCAAGCCAGCAAGCCAAAGCCCCTACAAAACACTGGACAAAATTACTAACTAACTAGTTAGATAGCCAACAGCTGGGGATGACAGTGTGAAGCAAGATCAGCTGACGACGTCAATCTCACATCTTTACCTCCTCGGTAATGCTTGGTTCACAGGTCGTAAACAAAGTGGCTCCGAAGAGAGCGTGATGAATACGGCCTTGCGAAATGCATACGTTTCCAGACCTCGTAAGAATGTTTGATGGTGGAGATCGACTGCTGGAGCCGGTGGCGCACGACCCATCAACTCCACGGGTCGTGAATCGGGGAAAAAAATTAGTCACCGGTGGTTGAATGAAGATGCTGAGGTCTGGGAATTATTTCCGGTGTTGTGCTGTTTATATGTGAGCTTGGTGGTTGGTGGGTGTGGTGTTGGTGGTGTGGTGTTGTGTTGGGGGTGTGGTGTTGGTGGGTGTGGTGATGGTGGGTGTGGTGATGGTGGGTGTGGTGATGGTGAGTGTGGTGATGGTGGGTGTGGTGTTGGTGGTGTTGTGTTGGGGGTGTGGTGTTGTGTTGGTGGTGTGGTGTTGGTGGTGTGGTGTTGTGTTGGGGGTGTGGTGTTGGTGGTGTGGTGATGGTGGGTGTGGTGTTGGGGGTGTGGTGTTGGTGGTGTGGTGTTGGTGGTGTGGTGTTGGTGGGTGTGGTGTTATAACGCCCGGAGAGTGCACCAGTTGTCACGGGAGACATCTCCCG